TATATATGATACATCCTCACTGAATTTTAAATTTAATATGTCTAGAATATATATTTTAAGATGTTTCCTTTAAAAAAATTTGAAAAAGTTCAAAAATAGCGATTATGACAATTGTCACATATCTATGATACATCCTCACTGAATTTTTAATTTAACATTTTTAGATTATATATTTTTTGCTATTTCCTTTAAAATAATTGAAAAAAGTTCAAAAATAGCGATTATGACAATTGTCACTTTTCTATGGTATATCACTTAAATTTTATTTTAACATCTTTACAATATATATTTTTAGCTATTTCCTTTAAAAAATTTGAAAAAGTTCAAAAATAGCGATTATGACAATTGTCACCTATCTATGATACATCCTCACTGAATTTTTAATTTAACATGTTTAGAATATATATTTTTAGATATTTCCTTTAAAAAAAATTTGAAAAAGTTTAAAAATAGCGATTATGACAGTTGTCACCTATCTATGATACATCCTCACTGAAATTTTAATTTAACATGTTTAGAATATAAATTTTTAGCTATTTCCTTTAAAAAAATTTGAAAAAGTTAAAAAATAGCTATTATGACAATTGTCACCTATCTATGATACATCCTCACAGAATTTTTAATTTAACATGTTTAGAATATATATTTTTAGATATTTCCTTTAAAAAAATTTGAAAAAGCTCAAAAATAGCGATTATGACAATTGTCACCTATATATGATACATCCTCACTGAATTTTATATTTTACATGTTTAGAATATATATTTTAAGATGTTTCCTTTAAAAAAATTTGAAAAAGTTCAAAAATAGCGATTATGACAATTGTCACATATCTATGATACATCCTCACTGAATTTTTAATTTAACATGGTTAGAATATATATTTTTTGCTATTTCCTTTAAAAAAATTGAAAAAAGTTCAAAAATAGCGATTATGACAATTGTCATCTATCTATGATACATCCTCACTGAATTTTTAATTTAACATGTTTAGAATATATATTTTTAGCAATTTGCTTTAAAAAAACTCAAAAAAGTTCAAAAATAGCGATTATGACAATTACCACTTATTTATGGTACATCATCACTGAAATTTTGATTTAACATGTCTACAATATATATTTTTATCTATTTCATTTAAATAAGTTCAAAAATAATTATCATGACAAATGGCACTTTTCTATGGTACATCACTTAAAAATTTTAAAATATAACTATGATGAATAGTTAATCAGAGCATTATAATTTAAAGAAGCTTTAAGTAACTTTCCCAGCTATAATATTAATATATACTAAATGTTATTTGACTTTTGGTCGAAAAAAATGATCTAGATAATTGGGTTAGGGGTGAAAAAAAGCAACCCTAACTTTAAGTCGTCTTTAAAAAAAAGATCCATATTTTGGGTCGGATTGAATAAAACGACCCGATGTTTGAGTCTGAGTCAGAAAAACGACCCAAACTTAGAGTTGGAGTCGAAAAATACGACCCAAACTTCAAGTTTGAGTCAAAAAATACGACCCAAACTTCAAGTCGAAAAATATGACCCAAACTTCAAGTTTAAGTCGAAAAATACGACCCAAATTTCAAGTTTGAGTCGAAAAATACGACCCAAATTTTGAGTCGGAGTCGTAAAAAACGACCTATATTTTGGGTCGAGGTCATTTTTTTCGGCTTGGACTTGGGTCGGAGTCGAAAAAAACGACCCATATTTTGGGTCGAAGTCGTTTTTTCGGCTTGAACTCGGGTCGAAGTCGAAAAAAACGACCCAAACATTGAGTCGGAGTCGAATAAAACGACCCTAGCTTTGGGTCGGGGTCGCGACTCGCGGCGTTTTAACAACACTAGCTAATATGAATTTATCGGAAATGCAACTTTACAACAATCCAATAATGAAGATAGTAAAAAATTACTAGATCTTTGTAAAAACGAAAACTTTAAAATTGAAAATACTTTTTTTCACCATCGTGAGATAAACACTTATACTTTTGTAAGAGCTAATCAGAAATCCCAAATAGATTTTTCATATCAAATATTCATGGGTGGTATGATGTTATAGTGTCTACTAATATTAAATTGTCAGATCACAGAATATTAGTAGCCAAAATAACTATAAAAAATTTATGGGGTTATCATAATGGGGTTAGTCCAAATACATCTTTTTACAGGGAAAATCTCTTAAAACCCATCCTCTCCAGAAAACAATTAAAGCTCAGTCGCAAGATGTTTTGCTGCTATTTGATCAAATACTTGTCAGGAAAAGAGATAATTTTCTAAACATGACCTCAAATGGAAGTATTGATAAATGCCGGAACCTTTTCAAAAAAGATATTACAGATTCTTATAATAGGCTACCTAATATAAATATATTCAAAGAGTAAATGGTTAACAAATGAGACGATAGCAAAAATTAGTCAGCTTAGAACTGAATAAAGAATTGTGGAAAGATGTACAAAAATTGTTGAGGAGCGATAGAAGAAGATTTATTGCAAAAAAAGCCATTGAAATTGATAAATATATGAAAGAAAATAGAATCTATGATGCTTATAAAAAATTGAATTATTTTTGCAAACCGTACAGCTTTAAGAAACTTCCCTATTTAGTTTTAGCAAATGGAAAGCAAATTTCTGATGACGAGCAAATAGCGCTATGGCTTGACTATTATATGATGGTCTTCGACTCAAGAAAAGCCGTCTGCCAAGTGAACATAAGAGAACACTCAATCCCCGTCCGGTTTCTCCACTGCTGAAATTGGGAAAGAAATCACCAAACTGCGTAATAATAAAGCCCCTGGGCTAGATAAAATAACGGCTGAACATCTTAAAATAGCACCAATACTATATCCTCCTAATTACCTCTCTTTAACAAAATCTGGGATAGTGGTGAAACTCCCAAAGAATGGAATATCTATTTATTATGTAATTTCCCAAAAATAAAAGATCCAAAAAATTTCGCGCGATTGCCCTCACATCTACTGTGTCTAAAATATTCATGGTTCTGATAAAAAAACAAAATCATGTCATCTCTACCAACCTTGCTTCTGAAATATATTTGTGCCTATAGACCAAAGAAAAATATACTAGAACCAATTTTAGCACTAAAAATAATGCAAAAATGTTAGAAATATAAAATTCTCGCCTACTTCACTTTCGTTGAATTCAGCAGAGCTTTTGATAATGTAAACCATGATGCATTATGGAAGACGCTGATGGAATGCGGGATTGAATCAAATATAATTCACAACACAAATTTTACCGGTTGTATCAAAATTAACAATAAGATACCCCCCCCCCCTTTAGGATTAAGAAAGGTGTGAAACAAGGATGTGTACTTTCACCTCTTCTGTTTAATATCATAATGTATAAAATTATAAATGAAGTCTCGGGAGCCGCGAGTTTAATGGATCTGAGCTTAAATTCAAAATTACATCTAGAAAATAGGATAATATCATATGCAGATGACATCGCTATTGTGTTTTTAAGCATCAAAGAAACGGAAAAACTGTAATACCTACTAGAAAATTTAAGTCTAAAAATGGGTTTAAAAATAAATTTTAACAAAACAGTCATTCTTCCTTCCCCTAGAGCAGCCCAAAATCTAAATATCATAATTGCTGGTAATATTATTAAGGTAGTAGATAAAATTAAATACTTAGGCATATTGTTGGACAACAAGGGCTGCTGTAAAGAAGAATTGAAAATTAGAATACAAAAAGCGAGAGGGGCGTTTTATAAATATACTAGCTAATGACCCGTCAAGAATGACGGGGAATTAGAATTTTCTCCTTTATAACTATTTTTATATCTTTAAAAACTCAATCTATGAAAGGATGATAGATATTAGGGCTCCCAGGTTCTTAAATATAGTCGAGACATCCCGGTGCTTGAGACATTTTCTTTATTGTCAATAAAGGACACAAATATACACCTTGCTCACATTTAAAAGATAAAAGAAAATTTTACCCACTAATTAAGATTTATTACATGGAAACAATGTCTCTTATTGGAACCCCAAATATTACATTATCCACCAGAGCTCCTGTTAGTCAGCATTTCTGTTCACTCCCCACCGCGTGAAGGTAGGAGGTGGATTTTAGGGGAGCAAAGAATGAATAAAAGAAGGAAGAAATAGAAAAAAAGAGACAAAGATATGAATTATAAGAAAATATAATAATTGTGTATACCTTAAGACTTAACGATTATGGGGTTCCAACACATATACATTGTAACCATATAAAAAAATATAATATAGTAAAATTTATTGATAATGATGATGGTATCGTGTCTATGATGTTTTTGGTCGATGTAGTGTCGTTTTTTTGATTCGTAACTTGCCGTAAATAACTGGAAATAAAACGTGTAAATTGGAAGTATAAAATAAAATTTACTGATGATGATGATGGTATCGTGTCTATGATGTTTTTGGTGGATGTAGTGTCATTTTTTTGATTTCATTTCCTTGCTCGTAACTTGCCGTAAATAACTGGAAATAAAACGTGTTAATTGGAAGTATAAAATAAAATTTACTGATGATGATGATGGTATCGTGTCTATGATGTTTTTGGTGGATGTGGTGTCGTTTTTTTGATTTTATTTCCTTGCTCGTAACTTGCCGTAAATAACTGGAAATAAAACGTGTAAATTGGAAGTATAAAATAAAATTTACTGATGATGATGATGGTATCGTGTCTATGATGTTTTTGGTGGATGTAGTGTCGTTTTTTTGATTTCATTTCCTTGCTCGTAACTTGCCGTAAATAACTGGAAATAAAACGTGTAAATTGGAAGTATAAAATAAAATTTACTGATGATGATGATGGTATCGTGTCTATGATGTTTTTGGTGGATGTAGTGTCGTTTTTTTTGATTTCATTTCCTTGCTCGTAACTTGCCGTAAATAACTGGAAATAAAACGTGTAAATTGGAAGTATAAAATAACTGATGATGATGATGGTATCGTGTCTATGATGTTTTTGGTGGATGTAGTGTCGTTTTTTGATGAATTAACTTGAAGCTACAGAATTTAATACGTCCTGATATACGACATTAAGAGTAAATACTCTATTATCATTCAAAAGTGTGCCCTGGTATTTTGTAGGTAATATTTTTATTTTCATATTTTTTTTAAATCTGCAACGTGTTAGAGCGACATAGAGCTGACCATGGGAAAACACAGGTTCAGGAAGAAAGAGGCCGACATTGTCGAATGTTTGACCTTGACTTTTGTTTATAGTGATAACAAAAGCAGGAATTATAGGAAATTGGCGTCTTTTTATTATGAAAGGCAACCGGGAATCGCTCGGGGAAAGATCAATTCGAGGAATAAAAACGCGATGGCCATTATGCGTCCTTGATAATATTTCAGAATCTATGAAATTATCATGCAAATTTTTGATAAGAAGTCGTGTCCCATTGCATAAGCCTCTGCTGGGATTCATGTTACGAAGAAGCATTATTATTGTCCCAACTTTAAGATTTAAAATATGAGGAGGCATTCCTGATGGGATTTGAGAATGAAGAAATTCAATGGAAATTAAGTAAATCCTCAGGATTATCTGTTTGTATAGAATCAGCGCTAAAATATATCTTAGAATTTCCTGGTAGTTTTTGAATAATTTCGTTATTTAAATTTAGGGCTATATTATTTTTAGTGGTTAATATAATTTTTTTTGAAAATAGGTTAATATCAGTTTATTAACCTATTCAAATAAATAAACCAATAAAATTCTAAGAGAGACAACAATATTCAATATTTTATTGGGTTACAAAACTAATACCAATACAAACCAAAATATAAAACTAATACCACTTAAGCCAATCTCAATAACTGATAAATTCATCTAAAAGTAAAGATATATACATGTTTAAAAGCAATGTCAATATTATTTACAATTATACGTCAATACTATTTTTTAATTGTAATAATAATAAAAGTATAAAATAAAATTTACTGATGATGTGGTGTCGTTTTTTTTGATGTTTTCCTTGCTCGTAACTTGCCGTAAATAACTGGAAATAAGATGTGTAAATTGAAAGTATAAAATAAAATTTACTAATGATGATGATGGTTGATGGTTTTGCTCGATGTGGTGTGTGTTAAAAAATATAATTATTTACTGATGATGATTGAAGGTTTTGCTCGATGTGGTGTCTATTAAAAAAAATATCAATTATTGTAATTATTATATGTTTTGTAATTGTTTTTTGTATTGAAATTCTTTTTTTGAAAATGGCGGTTCGATTTGGTTTATGAATGCGTGTTTGATATGTTTAAGCTATGATGATTTTTATTGAATATATATATTATAGATTTGAATTCCTTAGCTCTTGTAGGATTATCTGCAAACATTTTTTTCATACTAATGTTCCTTCCTGCCTATTGCCTCAAAATACTTCTGAAATGCTTTCCATGATTTATAGGAGATTAAATCCATTTTGCTAATATGATCTAAATTGGCTTAAAATTGCTATGATAGATAGATAAATTATAGATATATAGAAAGAACAATATATTTGACATCAATTAAGACAAAATATTTACATTTCAACTTAGAAATATAATGCTATTTTAAATAAAATATAATATTATAGATGACGCTAAATATCATGGAGATTTAAACTACAATTTAACATAACTTAAATACTTCCGAATTTGTTAATATTAATTAAATATTATTAAGAAGCACTCCCTATTTAAGTAGGACAAACGTCCAATAATTAATAAAGAAGTTGAATCACTATATAATCGGGTCACAGTTGTGACAAGCCTTTTATTATATAGATGAAAATTTGGAAAACGAAAGAGATTTCTGTACACACCAGATTAAGAATTTTCAATTCTACTATATATATTATTATTTGGCAGAGATTTATGGGAAATTAATAAAACAGAAAATAGAAAATAGAAGATTACAATCATTCATCTGCCTCCGAACTATAAATGGTATCTTTTACCCAAAAGTAATATCTAATAATAATTTATGGAGAATATTAAAACACACGCCAATTCATATTACATTAAAGAAACGTCGCATTCAATTCCTAGCTCACAACATAAGGAGCTCGGATCATAATCTAGTTCATGACGCTATTACATCTACACTTATAATAGGAAAGAATACACAAAATATAAATCTTTATGGTATTATAAAACCATAAATATGGAACTAAACTTAAACATGAAACAATTTATCAAGTTAAACAACTGCAAAAATTCCATAAAGAAGCTCTTCAGAATTAAAGACAAATATTTTAATCTGGGCTTGTTTTTATAATGAACTAGTATTTTCCAAACCTTTTCAGGATTCAGGATAAACCAAAATGGAATTGGTATACTCTTTAAAAATTTTTTTGTATGAATTTACAGCTTTAATTATAAAAAATTAAATTTAAAATCAGCCACAACCCACATTTAAAGTAATTAACTTATACTGCAGTTCTTGGGCATAGGCTCTTTTTTTGCCCCGCTCTTTTTCTTAAAGCCTATGGACGTCTGTAATATTTTTCGAAATGTTGCGCGTACAAGTACGTGAGCCTTGCCCACAAACGTGTGGAGGGCTCCTTTCACCCTAATTAACTTATGTTCCAATTAGATGGAAATGAGGAATACCTAGCGTAACTCTGTTATTTATTCAACATAAGAGGGCATATGCGCTATATATCATGGATCACGGAATTATTTTAGATGTTCAAAAACGTATTTTGATTTAATTTGTAAAGATATATTATTTTATGTATATATTCAAAAGAGTTTTGTTACAAAGATTTTTTTTGGAATTTTTAAATTTTTCAAACCCATACCCGCCCTGGTCCATTATTCATTTTTTTAAAAAAAGAAATATTCTCTAACGAGCTCTACTCCATTCATAATTTATCGTAGGAATATATATAAACCCTTTTTTTTTCACCGACATTAAATTTTTCCAAATATAATATAAAATTTTTGAAAACTTTGAACTTTAGTTCTTTCCTTAAAGTTTTAACGACTGAGACAACCTCAGATAACGAAACTTCTAATGTTCTTAATAATATAATTTATTATTATTAGTGCTGTAAAGCAACGTCGTTACTAACGCCGTTACATTTTTTGAAGAAAAGGAAAGCCATTCGTTACCTTTTTCTAGAAGTAACGAGTAACAGTAAGGCATTTCTTTTTTTTGAGTAAAGTTTTTTTCTTAAAAAAATATAAACATATTTTATTGTATTATAAAATTACTTTTATTAATTTTTAAATTATATAAATAATTTAAGCTGAGTATTTGATTCACATCAACCACCAAATTCCTTCTCTTTATTTTAAATTTTATCTAATCAATCAATGTATGTAAATTTATTTATTATAATTTAAAATATATTGTCAATTGTATATTTACTTCAGCTGAAGATGATTAAAACCTACCTTGACTCCAACATTTAACATTTTTTACACCAAAAGAAAACTAAGGGTACAAATTTACACTTTGTAAGTATAAATTGGATCCAACTCAAATATTTTAACCTCAATTATAGAAAAAACATGGAAATTCTCCAAATTGTGCAGTCATTTTAAGGAAAAAATGCGATATCTGTAAACTGGTCCTAACAAGATGGAACTCTTTTTACGGAGAATGGGAACACATTTGGGGAATGTTGTGATAAATTCAAATTACAGAGATTATCAGATAACGAGAAGTCATTCATAGATGAATATTCTTTGTCTATGTAAATGATTTTATTTATATGCTCATAAGGCTCTTTCGATTTTAAAGAGAGAAAATAAAATAAATTTGGGAAATCCCACTCCTACTATAACTATTATAATATTAAGAAAATAAGCCACTTATTAATGCAATTCTGCAAGATAAAGATAAGAGATATACAATTGAAGTATTGTTCACAATCTATATTTTGATAATATATTATTTCAATCGAATTTATATTATCAACAATAATTGACCCTATATTTAATTTAGATTGGCTCTCGTAAAACATCAGCGAAGGAATAAAGATTCAACTTATTTCCGGTTTGATAAAAGATCCTAACAAGGAAAAGTAGACTTATTTCTTATACACGTACAGATTATTTTCTAATAAAGATTTTTTTAAAAATTGGATGAGGATTTGAATGAAGATTCTTTTGACGATGAACTAAGCTTTTTTTTCAAAGAAAAGATTATTCTTTAATTTTAATAAATTTCCCCAATTAAAATTTATATCTATTATACCTCCCATCCTCTGCGCATACAGTAAAAGCTGTGAGTACAAAGCACTCTTGTTTATCTGTTCAAAATTTTAAAAATGAATTGTTAAAAATAAATAAAAAATTATTACAAAAATATCTTATCTTATAATATATTGTTTTTGTATTAATTTATTTATAAATTATATAATATATAAATTATTATAAAAAGAGATCTTATTATATTATACAATTAAAATATACATATACATATTACAATCCATATATATGGAAAAATTTTTATAATGTAAACCATATTTTAATATACATTTTCCATTTTTAATTAAAATATTCAACATTATTATATTAATTTATAGAATATTAAGTTTTTAAATTTTTATGGACAATTTTATAGCCAAACTAGTGTTGAAAGACTTTTTTTTGCATACTAGAAATTATATTTAATGGTAGGATATATTTATAGGGTGGTCATCTAATAAATTTTTAGATGAAATAGAGCATAATGAATTGTAAAAATTATTACTATTTAATACAATGATATTGTAAAACATCTACCAAATCTATATATCACACAAAATCCTATATAATTATTTTCTAAATAGAACAATTTCTGGATCAGTTTCTGCTATCCTTTCAAAAGTTATTTAAAAGTGTTAAAGATTTTATCAGTAAACTCGTATTCATGCCAAACAATATACTATAATAATGCATTCATTGTAAATGTGAGTTTATTAATTGAATTCATGTTCTAAAATTAACTCTTTTACGTGGGCAATATTTTGATAGTTGTTAAGTAGAGCATTAATAATTTTAATTTTTTAAATTTATAAAAAGACTACTATTATAATAAAAAAAGGTATATTTATTAATTTTCGAAGGGGGGGGGGGGGTTTGCATCTAGTGAATATCCCGTCAAGTAGACGCTGCGCATACCAGTAGTATCAAAAGTATCATAAATGATATTTTAAATATATATCTCTGAATTAGCATAATAGTCTCTATATCACTGAAGCATAAATAATGTATCACTGGGTCATAAATAATTTATCACTAAATCATAAATAATACAATGACTGTTTAAATAAAACATATCTTCTTTATATATCTCCGAAAATTTTAATATGTTTTAACTAAATCAATAAAATAATAATAAGTAAATAATCAATCATTTTAAGTTACGCAAAATGAAAAATAAAATAAAAGTTCTTTATTCAAGACTGAATTTAATTTAAGTGATAAAATAATTAAAAAAATGTAAAT